TGTGATAGTTAAGGTTGTGTGTCAACTTGGCTGGGCCACGATTCTCTGGTTAAGCAGTTAGAATGTAGTCTTCCCCCATGATAGAGATCTGAGATAATGTAATCACCTCCATGATGAGATGTGCTACAAGAACCCAGTCAGCTGAAAGGGAGTTATCTCAGGGCTGTGGTCCTTCCAACATATATACAAATGTCCTGGAAAAGTTCTTTGGTTTTTGGATATGGGTCCTGCCCTGACTCATCATCATCTCTGGTTCCTGGGTGAACCAGTGGCCTGCCGTATTGCCTGCTGGTCTTGGGATTATTACCTTCGTAATCTGAGCCAATAAGCTGCCATTTTCTCTGCTGATCTTGGATTCAGCAGCCTCCAGACCCAGCAGCCTGCTCATCTTGGATTCGTCAGCCCCTCCAGCTGTGTGAACTAAGAGAAACCTGCAGCTTGACATTTGACCCACAGACTTGGGACTCACCAGCCTCTGCAATTGTGTGAGCCAATTCCTTGGGATAAATTTCTTTCTCTTTGCAACTGTGTTGCAAAAGACCTTTAAAGTGTTCAAGAGCAAAAATGTTACTTTGAACACTGAGGTGCGGCTGACCCAAGGCATTGTCTTTTCAATGGTCTCATATACATGTGAAAGCTGGACAATGAGTTCGGAAGACCAAAGAACTGATGCATTTCAATTACGCTATTGTTGAATAATATTGAATAGACCACATACTGCCAGAAGAATGAACAAACCTTTTTTGAAAATATAGCCAGAATGTTCCTTAGAAACAAGAATGGCCAGACCTTATCTCTTGTTCTTTGGTCCTGTTATCGGGAGGGGCCAATCCCTGGAGAAGGCTATGCTTGGTAAAGTAGGGTTAGCAAAACAGGGGAAGATCCTCACTGAGACGGACCGACAAAGTGGCTGCAACAACGGTCTCAAGCATAATAACAGTTGTGAGGATGGCACAAGACCAGGAAGTGTTTTTCTGTCACACTTGGGGACGGTATGAGTCAAAACCGACTTGAGGGCATCTAACAACAAAAGCAACAAAATGCACAAGAGCAAATAAAGTTTACTGTTGACACTACTAATTCAAGAATGCATGATGAGAGATTTCACAAGTTTGGTCTATTTGTCCAACAGTCTTTTTATTTTTCACCACCATCAGGTGTAGCACATCTTAGTCAATTCCACTTCAGCTTGCAGTGAATTAGTGTTTTGTCAAGGTCTTTGAAAATACTCTCACCTTTAGTTGTCCCATTTAGATTATTCACAGGGTAATTCTTCAGTCACTTCAAACTCAGCACTGATACCTCAAATAAAAAAGAATGAGCACTACTATAACATTTGTTATCAAGAGCCAAAGAAACCATTCAAAGTCATTAGCTTCAACTGACTGATTGGTTCTCCAAGTCCCCAACTCTTGGAGCAACTGTTCTTATTGAAAGGCTTAGTCTAAAACAAGTTTATTGTCTCTGGACATATCTCTTAGGCTGCTGCAATCAAACACAATTCAGTCAACTCACCATCAGTAGTGAGTCAATTAACTTGTTTTCTTACTTGGCTAACAAATTTATTCAATGTCAGTAAAGGCTGGTGGTTCAAACTCACCAGCCACTCCTCGGAAGGAAGATGAGGCAATCTACTTCCGTAGTGATACTGCCTCAGAAACCCAAGGCGGGGTCGCTATGAGTCAGGCCCGACTCGACAGCACATAACAACAACAGTGAGCCACTCAGAAACTTAACTTTGGTTGCAGCTTCATTCTCATTTCTGGGCAATGCTGCATGATGATATATTCTCATTTAAAATTTTCTAATTTTTCCAACCATTGCTTGCCTGTGAGTTGGGAATATGTGATCAAGTGTTTCAGATGTTTTGCCATCTCAGTATCAAAATAATTCACACTCCACTGTGCCTTAAAAGCATGACATTATAAGTCCACTTTTTAAATTGACATAATGGATATGCACTGTTAATAAAAAGGTAAGATAAAATGTTACTGTCTAGCAATGTATTACACTCAAAATGCTGTTGAGTTAGTAGTGTGAAGTGATGAGAGCCACATCCAGTCTGTATTCCAACTACTCGATTGTGCTGCTGTACCATTCAAGCGGCCATAGGCGATATGTGAACAAACCAGCGTGGCATATCTGAGTAAAATTTGTTTATGGACACTGAAATGTGAATTTCATATAATTTTCAAATGTCACAAAATGTTTTTCTTGGGATTCAGGCATTAAAAAATTTAAGAGGCACTCATAGCTTGTGGGCCATACAAAAATAGGTGGTGGGTCAGATTTGAGTTGCAGGACATAGTTCACCTTCCCTGATCTAAATAATCTCATTAAAAAAAAAAATATTATAATAATGGTGAGTTGGTAGTGTAGAGGCTAAAATTTAACCACACTCTTCAACTAAGGATAACTACAAAATGATATTGTGCTTTTGTGGTTGAATAGCACACAGTTATCATCTTATCTTCAAAGACTATTTTCCAAGAGATAGACAATATTTAAATATATTTAATAAAAGTTAATACATTTAGAAGACATTTCAGCTGAATTTTAATTTGGTAATACTGAAATTTATTTAAGACAGCAAGGGTAAAATATAAGAGTTCAATAATAAAGTAACTGCTAAAATTTTATGCAATCATACACATTGTATTTTGCTATATAAAAGTCTAGGGGGGAAATGGAGAAAATATTCCTAATTAAGTGTTTGAAGCAATTTCTATTTTTTCTTCTGAAAAGGCTGTATCTGTTCTCTGGCGTTTAAGAGGTGGATCTCCGTGATTGTCTGTAACAAATCCAGAAAAGGTATTTTTAGGTATGTTATTTAACATTTGAAAATACTTCTAAAAAACAAATAATAAAGGCATTTTAGAGATATTTTTAATCTACTAAACTCAGATATGAATACTATATTCCTGTGAACTTACTATATTAATGAAATAGCTCTCTATCAGACTGAATAGCACATCATACTAACATCTGTAAAACTGAGGCAAACTAGTCACAATTGAATGGCAGAGGGGTCCTGAACCAAAATAACCTGCCTATTTCCGAATTTAATAAAGAAAATAAAATACACCCACTCCTCACCTATCAAACATGGTTAGATTCCAAAGACCACCAAGTCATTATGCAAAAACTGGTGTTACACGAAAATGGAGAATGACCTCATAAGATCACAAAATGGAGGATGACGACATTGTTACGTAACTGCAAATTACATCATTACATGACTGTCAGGCCACTGAGAATCATGGCCCAGCCAAGCTGACACATAACCTTAACCATCACAGCTAGTGTTACTGTCATCTCGGACCCTGGCATACATTACTGCCAGAAGTACACCAGAAGTACATCGTTAATGCACAAAATAGTCATATAGTTGATATTTTACTATTGTCATAAATGCAAAATGCTGGGTAACAAGAGTCAGTAAGTGAGGTGTAGGTATATATATGTAGTCCAAGAAAGCAACTTAAAAGGTATTATACTTTACAATTAATTTGCCAGAAACTGCTCACCTAGATTTATGGTTTTGTTCTTGTAGAGTACAGTAGCAGGAATCTGAAAGGTGATGCATAGCATTTCTTTATTAGGGGCCACATTTCTTACTACATGAACCGAACTGCATGCCTCCAAGGAAACACCTAACACAGCTCCAGCTTGCTGCCGAACATCCTGAGCAGGATTAGCATCTTTGGAAAAGCTGTAACAGTGCACTATGGGTAGAAGCTCACTGTGGCAAGGCGGCCCATCTAACAGTGATCTGAAGGCACTGAGAAACTCTACAGCCTTCGCTGGCAAGTTCATAACAATGTGCATAGAGTGTTTTCTTTCTTTTGACAGTGGTCCCAACTGCTGCATTAACTCTTCTCTGACTGGTCCTTGGAGGAAGTCTTTCCCATCCAAGTTGAAGACTTTTACCTTTTGGTCCACTTTATTTAATTTACAATTGTGCAACAGCCATTTATGGGATTCAGGATTGAGATCATTGGCAAACACGGTGCAATTCTTCTTTGCTACTGGAATGACAAAGGGCCCAACTCCAGCAAAAACATCAAATAGGACATCCCCAGGCTTGAGAAGTTCTGTGATACGGCTGTGTTCTGTAGAGAGACGAGGATTCCAATAGACTTTTGAAAAATCAAATTCATAGTTGTAGCTGTTTTCTCGAACCTGTAAAGGGTATTATGCTTGTGGTTACAAGGCTTAGTCCCAAATTCCAGCCTGATACTTATCTACTCTGACACACATGGGGTCATCGTGAGTCAGAACTGACTCAAAGACAACTAGTGGTGTGTACACACAAACACACACTGCTTTACTTCTATTAAGAATAAAGAACAGTGCATTTAAAGGCACTTTAAATAGAATCCTAGTATTTATGCAATACCTAAGGCTAGTTAATATCTTGCATTAGACTAATGAGAAAAGACTCTTCAAAGTCAAATGGCTTGCCATAAAGTAGTTCCCAAAGCACATGAGGAATTTTTCAGATATACCAACTGACTGGCTTCATACTCTTATATGTTACCAGAGAGGGAAAAACCTTCAGTGTGAGACAACAGGCTATACGCATCCACAAAGTGGGCAGCTAAGTTGTAGGTAGCACATCCACATGGTAAACACACTTCCTTCCTTATTTTAATTTTCCATTCTAAGGGGGAGGCATGATAGATTTGTCATATGTCATTGAATTTTGAGGTATTCTGCTACCTTTTTAGACAGATTTTTCAAGTTTCATGTCTATAAATTAGAGCCAGTGTACACAGTGATTCATTCACTTTCTTTTTTTTCTTTTCCTAAATGTCACTTTTCATGGATAAACTACATATATACAAAGAAGCTAAGCTGAACAAGTTAGACTTTCTACCACTTCTTTTGGGATTATGATATAACCCATCACCAAACCCAGTGCTGTTGAGTTGACTGTGACTCACAACAGCCCTATAGGACAGAGCAGAATTGCCCCAAAGGGTTTCCTAGGATATAAATCTTTAGGGAAGCAGATTGCCACATCTTTCTCCCATGGAATGGTGGCAGGTTCCAACTGCCAATCTTTTGTTTAATAGCCAAGTGCTTTAACCACTGCACTGATTATGATATACATGATAGAAAACAGAAAACAAAACTAAAATTACAGTTACGGAATATGACTTTAGCCATCATTTTAAGCACTGTTTTTATGGATGATTCTTTTGTTTCTACAAAAGGCCAGAGAGTTCTTAAGTTTTGTAAATCTGATAGAGATACACGGCAAATACTGTAAAAGCTGGAACCTGTGTAAGGTGGAAACTTGTCACAGAAGGAAAACACAAATATTTTCCACTAATACAAACAATAGAAAAGTGGTAAGACTGCACCCTGTCAAAGGTGGAAAACTTGGGAGACCCAGAAAAATAACGCAGTCCTGTCAAGTTCTGGCTCTCACAGAGGTTTCACCGTCCTTTCCATACAAAGTACTTAAGTGTTGTGTGAGTTCCTAAAGTTAAGCTTCAATTTGATTTCCTCTGGAGCAAGGCAATCATACTAAGTGAATCTTTACATTTATTTTATGGAGTAAATATTAGGTATAAAGTATGTACTAAAAACAAACATTAGTTGACTTATGAATCACAAAGCGCCTATAAAGTTAAAGCAACTTCTCAGAGCTCTTAAATCTTGTCTCTGAGAAGAACAATGCTACCTGGTTCAATACCAAGCAAAGAACATGCACAAGGTTCAACTGGTGTATATACAACCAATTCTCATTATTCACATACAAGCAAAAAAAGCAAACCCACTGCCATCAAGTCAATTCCAACTCACAGCAACCCCCATAAGGCTTCAAAGGCGGTAAATCTTTACAGAAGTAGATTGCCTCATATTCCTTCCACACAGCAGCTGGAGGGTTTGAACTGCCGACCTTCTGGATAGCAGTCAAATGCCTTAGGCACTGCATCACCAGAGTTCCTTTATTATTCACATAGTTAGCTTTAATAAAGTGCCTTTGAACAATGAATTAAAGAACACTGACCTCAGCTGAGGAATGTGTGCAACTCATAATTTTTCTCTGCTCTGTGCATGTCTACAAATGACCATGAAATTGCTGGGGGTATTGATTTTGGAATTACAAATAAATTTTAAGAAATAGGCACATTACAAATAGGGAATTCACAAATAATGAAGTTAACTGTAATATATTTGAAGATACTAATGGATGTGTCTTAGTGTCAGCTGAAATAAGTACTATTATTACCAAAGGTCCCAAATTCAAATCTTACTTTCCATATCAGATCTCATACATTATACACAAGGAGTAGGCAGTGGGGGTTTGGTTTACTGGGAAAGACCAAGCATGAGCTCTGGAGTCGGGAGTCTGACTCCAAGCACCCTGCTTTGTCACTCCTTGTTATTTCATCTGCATAAACAGAAAATTAACAACAACCATTATTTTAAGGATTTGTTATATTTAAAACATGTAGCTCAGGGCCTAGAAAACAGTAAGGTGCAGTAAATGGTATTTTAATATTCTGAAGCTATCAAATTAAGGGAAAATATTGTATTTCAAAATATTTTCCCTTAATCTGATAGTCTGATAGGCAGAGAGGGCCGGCGGCTAGAAAAGGTAAGGAAGGTGGGGGACAGCCCCAGGAGGCAGGGAGCAGCGGCAGACAGGACCGGCAGGAACAGGTAGGGGGTAGCCCAGGAAGTGAGTGGCGTGGTTGGAACAGCTAAGGGAGATGAACTTGTCTGTTGGTTTGTCACACTGTGGTGGCTTGCATGTTGCTGTGAGGCTGGAGGCTGTGCCAGCAGGGGTGCCCGTGGTGGACTGGTTTCAGTGGAGCTTCCAGACTGAGACAGACTCGGAAGAATGAAGAGGCCATCTATTTCTCAAAGAATTGGCCAGTCAAAACCTTATGAATAGTAGTGAAACAATGTCAGATATATTACTGCAGTTTTATGAACAGTTCTGAAACATTGTCTGATAACAGTGCCAGAAAATGAACCCTTCAAGTCGGAAGGCACTCAGAATATGACTAGGAAAGAGCTGCCTCTTCAGAGTAGAGCCTACCTTAATGCTATGGATAAAGTAGAGCTTTGGGGGCCTCCATTTGCTGAAGTGGCACTGCTTGATATGAGAAGAAAACAGCTACAAATATCTGTTGATAATCAGAACATGGAATATACAAAGTATGAATCTAGGAAAATTGGAAGTTGTAAAAAATGAAATGGAACATGAAATGGATTGATATCCTAGGCATTAGTGAGCTAAGATGGACTGGTTTTGGCCATTCTGAATCAGATAACCATCTGATCTACTATGCCAGAAATGACAAACTGAAGAGGAATGGTGTGGCATTCATCATCACAAAGAATGTTTCAAGATCTATCCTGAAGTACAGTGGCATCAGTGATAGAAAAAATATCCATACACCTACAAGGTTCTGCTGTGCATGGGGTCACTATGAGTCACAAATGACTCAACGGCACCTAACAACAACAACAACAAGGAAAGTTAGTTAATATTATTAGTCAAATTTACACACCAACCACCAAAGCCAAAGATGAGGAAATTGAAGATTTTTTTTACCAACTTCTGCAGTCTGAAATTGACCAAACACACAATCAAATGTGCTGACTATCACTGGTGACTGGAATGCAAAAGTTGGAAACAAAGAAGAATCACTGGTAGTTGGAAAATTTGGCCTTGGAGATAGAAGTAATGCTGGAGATCGCATGATATAAATTTTGCAAGACCAACAACTTATTCACTGCAAATACCTTTTTTCAACAACACAAACAGTGACTATACACATGGACTTCACCAGATGGAGTACACAAGAATTAGACTGACTACATCTGAGGAGCTCTGGTAGCATAGTGCCTAAGGCACTTGACTGCTAACCAGAAGGCTGGCGGTTCAAACTCACCATCCACTCCTCAGAAGGAAGGCTTGGGCAATCTCCGTCATAGTGATACTGACTCGGAAACCCAACGAGGGGTCGCTATCAGTTGGATCAGACTCAATGGCAAATAGTAACAACACAACAACACATCTGTGGCAAAAGGCATTGGACAAGTTCATTATCTTCAGCCAAAACTAGGCTAGGAGCTGATGGTGGAACAGACCATCAACTGCTCACATGCAAGTTCAACTGGAAGTTGAAGACAATTAAAACAAGTCCAGGAGAGCCAAGATACAACCTTGACTATATCCCTCCTGAATTTAGACACCATTTAAAGAATAGATTTGATGCACTGAACACCAATGACGAAAACCAGAGGAATCGTGGGATGACATTAAGAACATCATCCATGAAGAAAGCAAAAAGTCATTAAAAAGACAGGAAAGGAAGAAAAGACAAAAATGGATGTCAGCAGAGAGTCTGAAACTTGCCCTTGAATGGAGAGTAGCTAAAGCAAATGGAAAAATGACAAGATAAAAGAGCTAAACAGAAGATTTCAAAAGAATAACTCTAGATGACAAAGTCAATTATTATAATGAAATGTGCACAAACATGGAGTTGGAAAGCCAAAAGGGAAGAACACACAGGGCATTTCTCAAGCCAAAAGGACTGAAGAGGAAATTCAAGCCTCAAGTTGCAATATTAAAAGATTCTATGGGCAATATATTGAATGACTCAGGAAACATCAAAAGAAGATGGAAGGAATACACAGAGTCACTGTACCAACAAGAACTGGTTGATGTTGATCCATTTTAGGAGGTGGCATATGATCAAGAACCAATGGTATTGAAGGAAGAGGTCAAAGCTGCACTGAGGAAAGTGGTGAAAAACAAGGCTCCATGAATTGATGGGATACCCATTGAGATGTTTCAACAAACGGATACTGTACTGGAAGCACTCACTCAGCTATGCCAAGAGATCTGGAAGACAACTACCTCACCAACTGACTGAAAAAGATCCATATTTGTACCCATTCCAAAGAAAGGTGATCCCACAGAATGGACATTATTGAACAATATCATTAATATTGCATGCAAGTAAAATCTTATTGAAGATAATGCAAAAATGGTTGTAGCAATATATTGACAGAGAACTTCCAGAAAGGCAAGCTGTACTCAGAAGAGGATGTGGAACGAGGGATATCATTGCTGATGTCAGATGGATCTTGGCTGACAGCAAGATGTTTACTTGTGTTTTACTGACTATGCAAAGGCATATGATCATGTGGATCCAAACACATTATGGATAACATTCAGAGAATGTGAATTCCAGAATACTTAATTGTGCTCAAGGAAATTGTACATCAACCATGAGGTGTCGTTTGAACAGAACAAAGGGACACTGCATGGTTTAAAATCAAGAAGGGAGTGTGTCAGGGTTGTATCCTTCCACCATACTTGTTCAACCTGTATGCTGAAAAAATAATCCGAGAAGCTGGACTATATGAAGAAGAACATGGCATCAGGATTGGACGAAGACTCATTAACAACCTGCGTTATCCAGACGACACAACTGTGCTCGCTGAAAGTGAGGATGACTTGAAATGCTTTATGATGAAGACTGAAGACTACAGTATGCAGTATGTATTACACCTCAATATAAAGAAAACAAAAATCCCCACAACACAACCAATAAGCAGCATCATGATAAATGGAGAAAAGACTGAAGTTGTCAAAGACTTCATATTACTTGGTTCTACAGTCAACACCAATGGAAGCAACAGTCAAGATATCAGATGTCATATAGCACTGGGCAAATCTGCTGCAAAGGACCTCTTTCAAGTGCTACAGAGCAAAGATGTTTCCTTGATGACTAAGGTGCGCTTGACATAAGCCATGGTATTTTCAATCGCCTCATATGCACTTGAGAGCTGGACAATGAAAAAGGAAGACCAAAGAAGAGTTGATGCTTTTGAGTTGTGGTGTTGGTGAAGAATGCTGAAAGTACCATGGACTGCTAAAAGAACTAACAGATCTGTCTTTGAAGAAGTGCAGCTGGAATGCTCCTTGGAAGCAAGAATGGCCAGATTTCATCTCACCTACTTTGGTCATGTTGTAAGAAGGGACCATTCCCTGGAGAAGGATACCATGCTTAACAAAGTGGAGAGACAACGAAAAAGGGGAAGGCCCTCAATGAGATAGGCTGACTCAGTGTCTGCAACAATGGGCTCAGGTATAGCAAGGATCGTGGGGCTGGCACAGGACCGGGCAGTGTTTCATTCTGCTGTACATGAGGTTGCTATGAGTTGGAGATGACTCGATGGCACCTAACAACACAACAACAGTCAAATTATGGGAAAATATTCTATTCAAAATATTCACCAATATGTGGCCCTAAAAAATAATTATTTTATTAAAAAACCTTCTCCAAGGTCTGGTGGCATAGTGCTTAAGGCATTTGACTGCTACCAGAAAGCTGGCGATTCAAACCCACCAGCCACTCCTTGCAAGGTATCTCTATTTCCGTAGAAACCCAAGGAAGGGTCACTATGAATTGAATCAACTTGACGGCAGTAAGTCTGGTTTTTTGGTTTGAGTTTTTATAAAATCCTCTTTAAAAAATATGTCTAATATTTATAAATATGGTCTTTGTTATTAAAAATTTTTGTTAAATTAAGGGAATAGTTTAATCTATTTCCTATCTTGAGCAGAAACTTTCACATACTATATAAACGTACTATTGTCTAAGAGTTACAGCTTAAAACAAAAGTTTATTATATCCACTATGCCAGAATATTTTGGGAGTGGAGAATGAGAAAAACGGTTTATACTAGGATTAGTTCCTATATACAAGTGAAACCTGGGAAAGCCAGAACTCAAAGGCACTGCCTTGTTTTAAAAGTCTCACAAGTCTTTTGCCTTTGACAGGGTGCAGTCCTGGTACTTTTCTCTTGTTATTAGTGGAAAATATTTGAGTTTTCCTACTCTGACAGGTTTCTGCCTTACAAAGATTCCAGCTTTCATAGTTTTACAGTATCTTAAATTATTTTTTCTTTGAAACAGAGTATTTTTTTTTTATAAAAGTAGTATATGCTCAGTGGACAAGTACAGAGGATGACAAAAGTACAACGGATGACACCAAATACAGACATACCTGCTGTTTACATTCTGTTGTATGTACATATTCACATATTTAATGTAATGGAATTATGATATATATAAACCAAAAAAAAAACAAACTCACTGCCATCAAGTCAATTTGACTCATAGTGACCCCTCCTTGGGTTTCCGAGGTGGTATCTCTACAGAAGTAAATTGCCCAACCTTCCTTCAGAGAAGTGGCTGGTGGGTTTGAACCACCAGCTTTCTGGTTAGCAGTCAAATGCCTTAGGCACTACGCTACCACAGCTCCATGATATATTTATTATATATATATGGCTCTATAATTTCCTTTTTAAGTCATTTAACCTGCTAACAGGCAATTTATTTAAATAAATATGGAACTAAAAATGACCTTTACTTATATGTTGTTGTTATGTGCAGTCGAGTCGGACCCAACTCATAGCGACCCCTCCTTGAGTTTCCAAGGCAGTATCACTAGGGAAGTAGATTGCCCCATCTTCCTTCCAAGGAGTGGCTGATGGGTTTGAACCACCAGCCTTCTGGTTAGCAGTCAAGTACCTTAGGCACTATGCTACCAGAGCTCCTTTTACTTATATATGATCCTAAATTCCACCACTGTTGAACCAGAATTTAACCAATTTTCTACTGATGAACATTTAGGTGGTTTCCAGTCCTTTTGTTTGTTTGCTTATTTATTTATTATTAAAAACTTATAGCGAAGAACCTAAAACATACATCATTATAATTTTGTCCAGTTATTTCCTTAGGATAAATTCCTCAAAATGAAATGATAGGTCAAAGGATGCACCTATTAAAAACTGCAACCTATGACCATATACTCTGCATGGAATTTTCACCCCTATTGTTGTTGTAGTATGTGCAAGTGCTCACATTCCCACATACTCATCACCAGTGGGTGCCACAAATAGGCTTAATCTCCTGTCATCTCTTCTGATTCTAAATTAATCTTGATAAACCAGAAGATAGATAATATAATACTACATACCTTGGTCACCATGTTTTCCTCTCCAGACAGCACTTCCATTTGGAAATTTCGGTAAGTATTGTTAATATTATTGATTTTATTTACTGCTGAGGTGATTCCTGGGTTTTTGTCTATCATAACTTGGCCTAAAAGAAAAGATGAAAATCATAATAAATACAGCCTATTGGTTACAAAATAAAAGCTAAAACTGCAAATATGAAAGAACTGTATCTTCTTTTGCTTTGTAAGATAAAAACTATACCTAGTGTGTAGAAAGTGGCATGCAAATCTAAAAATTCAGCAGATTGCTAAAGTTAATGTTAGACAGCTTCTAATACACAGAAAATGGGTATATTTTTATGAATGAATACATAATGGTTACATTTTTGAATAAAGTTTTTTAAAGAGTTTGGGTCTACCTAATGTTTTTCCATGCTTTTACTAAATCCTCTGAAATATACCAGCACAATAAGTAAGCAAAAAGCCAGAAAAAAAAAAGAACTGGGAAAGAATGGAAAGAGATATAAGAACACTGGCAACAAATGGTCTCAGGAAACACCAGCAAAAACATCTGTTTGTCCCCACTGGCCTCAAACCAAATGTTCGCTTTACTGTATGCTGGAAACAAATGCCTCCACTGTGGAAATATATGCCAGCAAAACAAAGTTTCCAAATAAAACAAACATACAGATTCTTTATAGTCTTATCTAAACAAAATTCTATTTACTTAAATTATTCTTTTTGTCCACTATTTGTTAGAACATAAAAGTCACAAAGATAATAAAATACTGTATACCAGAAATGGTATAATGCAGACCTTTAATCAAAGTATATTTTTTGTCATCACTTAATACACTTCTAAGATGTGGAACAAAATTCAAAAACACATAAATGACCAGAATTACTGGTCGGATAGAGATTGGTCAAATTCCCAAGACTGTGGCCCCGGGGTTATCATTTGGGCCTGGAACTGGACTCCCTTCCGTGGACTAAATCTCAGCTAAACAGGTGAAAGACCCACAAGCATAACACCTAGCCTAGGGACACATAATCCCTAGAACAATCAACCATGAAACATCAGAAGGGCAGCATTTGCATAGAAGGAAATCTGGACAGACAGGAATGCGTAGATAAAAAGGGCACAGGGAAGGGGTAGTCATAGGGAGGAGATGGGAGGTGAGCTTTTTATGGTTGGGATTGTAACAGGGCAGTGAAACCAAATGTGCATGAACTGTTGAGAGTAAAACGAATCTGCTTTGTAAAACTGCGCCTAAATCACAATTAAAAAAAAAAATTCTAAAAATCTATATGCTATTCCATTGCATAATGAAAAATAACTTGATTTGTCACTTAATAATAGTATTCAATTAATAGAAACAAGATGAAACGCAACTATCATTTATTCAGTATCTCTCTGATAATTAGGTACCTGATTCTGAATATAACATTATCAATAAACTCTAATCAAGCAGTGCTCTTGTCCTGTTCTACTTCAAGTATCAGAGCTCAATTTTGAAGGTAGAGAAGTTAGTTTGTAATGTGGAACAAAATTTTTGAAAAGGCTTATTCTGAAGGTCTATAGTCAAAGCTTTACCATTACTACTGCATGAGTATGTTTAACTTTTAAGCAGCCAAGTGCTTTAACCACTGTACTACCAGAGCTGCTTAATCTATGACTGACCCTTTATGAAAGTGAGGTTATAAAATAAGAATGCCAAAGGAGTTTTTGAGGTACGTTAGGCAATGACTTACAAGAAAGCCTAGATTTGACATCTGTACCCAGTCACAATGATAAGGATCTGCTTAAGTATTTATTATGTTATCACTGTGCATTATCAGTGCCTTTCATCAATAAAAAAAAGAAAAGCACAATAGCACAGTTCTGAAATCCTACCTACGCAAAATACCGAGCATTACATTTTAAAACTGAAAATGATTCCCAGAAGTTCTAATGAATACTCTATATTTAAAAAAAAAAAAAAGAAAGAAATTAATCTGCAGACTGTATGGACATCAAATATTTATATAAAGGCAAATGCTATTTCTGATTCATTTTCTACTTCCTTCTTATCCCAAAGAATAAGGAAGCCAGGCTCAAACCTAGCTCTATAAAAGTACAACACAAGCATAGTTTCTAAAAGAACAGAAGCACTAAATAAGAAATCAAAGTAGGATGTCTGACATGGAAGAGGCTCAGTAAATATTAACTGAATCAATGAAAGCATGAGTAAACAGTGTCTTTCACTTGTGACTATAAAACACCCAAACTCATGAAACCTAGTATTCAACAGTCTTGAAGGCCTAATAAGTCTTGTTCACCAAAAATGTACTCTGCTCAACATAGCTGCCAAAGAGTTCTGCCAAAGCAAGTGATTCAAGTTTAATCTGTTTACATATTGGTGTAAACAAAAGTCTGGACTGACACGTAGAGCTATGATGATGGAGTTAGCATCGACTTAACAGTAGTAGGTTTGGTTTTGCTACAATGCTAGAAAGAGCCCTGGTGGCACAGTGGTTAAGCACTTGGCTGTTAACTAAAAGGTCAGTGGTTCAAACCTACCAGCTGCTATGTGGGAAAAAGATGTTGCAATCTGCTTCTGTAAAGATTTATAGCCTTGGAAACCCTATACAGCAGTTCTACTCTGTCCTGTTGGGTTGTTAGGAGTTGGAATCAATTTGATGGTAGTGTTTCTTTTTTATTTTCTTCAATGACTCTAGAGCAGAGTCCCTGGGTGGTACAAACAGTTAATGAACTGGGCTGCTAACCAAAATGTTGATGGTTTGAGTTTACCCAGAGGCCCTCAGAAAAAAGACCTGGAAATCTACTTCAGAAAAATCAGCCACTGAAAACCCTAAAAAGCAGTTCTAACCTGACACTCATGGGGTCACCATGAGTCAGAATCGTCTCCATAGCACTGGTTATGACTCTGGGGAAGGTTTTCCAAAAAGCACTCAAAAGATACAGTTCAAAATCCAGTCTAAAATTAAAATGATAAACTGTCCTATTTCTGTAATTTGGCATTTATAAAAATATCTTTAAAAACTGAAATTAGATATATGTACATCCATGTGCATCACAGCACTATGCACAATAGCAAAGAGAAGGAAACAATCTAAGTGCCCATTAACAGATGAATGGATAACCAAACCACAGTACATACACACAGTGGAATACTATGCAACATTAAAGAATAACGAAGAATCTGTGAATCACCTCATAATGTGGATGACTTGGAGGACACTACGCTGAGTGAAATAAGTCAATCAGAAGGACAAATATTGTATGAGTCTGTTTTTATAAAAAGCCAAGGAAAGACTTACATAGGGAAGGAATTTTTGTTGTTGTTGTTGGTCACCAGGGATGGGAAAGGGAGGAGAGGGGAGGAAAAACTCCTGACTAGTTAGGAGATAATGTGATATGGGTGAAGAGAAAGGCAATAATAGAACAAAAGCATGCCTTCACTAAACAAGAAGGCACAGAAGTGCCCATGAGGTACAGACAACAAAGGTAAATACTATTACACACACAATACTGCATTATCAGTAATAATAAACACTCAGGTGGTGTAGTGCCTAAGGCATTTGACTGCCAACCAGAAGGTTGGCGGTCCAAACCCACCAGCCACTCCTTGGAAGGAAAGTTCAGCAATCTACTTCCATAGAGATACTGCCTTGGAAACCCAAGGAGGGATTGCTATGAGTCAAAGTGACTTGACAGCAGTGACTTCGGTTTTTTTGGTTTGGAATATATGGGTGGATACACAGGTAGCCTACCCATACCTGATTTTCTTGTCTAACAGGAATATACCCATGACTATACACAGGTTTGACAGACAATATTCCTAAATATATGTATGTATGTGCTATGAAAATATCCATATATATTATAGAGCTAACAGGTCAAAGTTAGGATAACTTCCTAGCTACAAGCAAACACCTTGAGGGAGTTACTGGGCCTGCAGGCTCAGGACCATGGTTATGGAGCTCAAGTGGCACAGCACAATATGCAGAAACATTGTTCTACATCCTACTTTGGTGAGTAGGGACTGCGGTCTTAAAAGCTTGCAAGTGGCCATGTAAAATGTAACTATTGGTCTCTCCTCATCTGGAGCAAAGAAGAGTGAAGAAAACCAAAGATGTATGGAAACAACTAGTCCATGGGACTGATGACCATGGGAACTTCAGCCTGCATGACCCTGGGAACAGAAGAACTAGACAGTGTTCAGTTACCAATGCCAAACACTCAGAAATTGGAGATCTGGGATAGACTGGGAGAAAAAAATGTGGAACGTTCAAAAGCATAAAAACATCAGGATTACTGGTCTGAGACTGCTGAAACCCTGAGACAATGCTCCCAAGTCACCCGTAGAGTCTGGAATTGGACTCACTCTTGTGGCTTAACCTTCAGCCAAATGATAGGCCTACGAGCTGAACAATTACGCCAGAAAGATTCATTCCTTGGAACAGTTTACCATGGGAGATCAGAAAGGCATCTTTTGCACCGGAGAATACTAGACAGGCAGAAATGCAAAGGTAGGAAGGATACAGGGAATGGGTAACCACAGGAAGGAAGTGGAAGGAGAGCTCCTACACTGTGGTGATTTTACTCAGTGTTACAAAATAAAATGTTATGTACTGCTGAATATAAAATGAATGTGCTTTGTAAAACTGCACCCGCATCACAATAAAAAGTTAAAAAAACAAAAACTAACTAAAATTAGGAACTCTGATCACATAGTGCCTAAGGCATCTGACTGCTAACTAGTAGGCTGGTGGTTCAAACCCACCAGCCGCTCCCCAGAAGGAAGACTGGGCAATCTACTTCCACAGTGATACCACCTCGGAAACCCAAGGAGTGGTTGCTATGGGTCGGATCTGACTCGATGGCAATGAGTTTGGTTTTTTTTTTTGTTTGTTTTAGTACTTGAACATTACTAATGCACCTACCAATTAAATGCTTGAAAGGTAGTTGATGATCTCGAAGGTTCAGGTGAGCAATATGTCCAACTCTGCTAAATCCTGAAGTCACATCTTGGCCTTCAGGAAGCACAGCTTTCAAGATTTCTTCTGACTTAAAGTTTTCATAGGTTAGTTCCAAATTATATTTAGATACCTGTGGATTGACATTGAGCTGCTTTAAAATACTGAGTTCTGCTTTCTCAAAGGAATCACAAGAAAACATTTTATAGGGATCCAACATAATTAGTCTACTATCTTCATCTTCTGGATCTTCAATCACACGTTTTATGCCTGGGCGCTGCAGTGCTACCCTTTTAAGAGATCGCATCAATTTACTGACTATTTCTTTCTTCACTTTAAGTACTGGAATAGTGACTGCTTTTGTAAAAGCTTTTCTATCAAGTTTTGTCATTCCTCGAACATCAGAGGGTGGTGAAAACAATTCAGAGTCTCTTTGGTCTGTTTCTAACTGTGGCATAGTTGAGAAGCTTTTTCTTTGACCGAACAAGAAAATACAAGGTGTTCTAAGCTTTTGTGTCGGTGGTGTCCAAGCTAGTGCAATCTGTAATTTGGATTCAGTTATGTTACAGCTTTCCACTTTCAGAAGTCTTCTTGAGAATTCAAATGGCCTCCATAAGATCCTAAAAAAAGTATTCATTAAGAAAATGTCATAAAGTTAACAAACTTACATGTCCACAGTGACTTTTGAGAAAAAGAATCTAAATTCTACTGTTTCAAATACCTGTTAAATGCAGATAATAAAACTGTTAGTGATGTGTACTACACTTTTTTAGTGATGTGTTTTATACTGTATTTTCTACGATATGATGGCTTTTATTAGTGGTAAACCAAAAAACCAAACACTTCTGTCGAGTCAAATCCGACTCCTAGCAGCCCCTCCTTAGGTTTCTGAGGCAGGTAGCATAGTGCCTAAGGCATTTGACTGCTAACCAGAAGTTTGGCGGTTCAAGCCCACCAGCCACTCCTCAGTAGGAAGGTTGGGCAATCTACTTCTGTAGTGATACTGCCCCGGAAACCCAAGGAGGGGTCGCTAGGAGTCGAATCTGACTCAACGGCAGTGAGTTTGGTTTTGGTTGGTTTATCACTATGGAAGTAGATTGACCAATCTTCCTTCCAAGGAGTGGCTGGTGGGTTTGAACTGCCAGCATTCTGGTTAGCAGTCAAATGCCTTAGGCACTATGTCACCAGAGTGGTAGATGACAAATTTGTACCCTCAACCCCCTTGTTACCAGGTCACAAGGCTTACTCAGTGTTACAAAATTGGTTAGTTACGGTGGGTAAATTACTCAGTCTGCGTCTCTGTTTCCCCACCAGTAAAATGTGCTAAAGAGTCCTAGTAGTGCAATGGCTACAACACTCGGCTGCAAATTGAACGATGGCGGTTAGAAGCCATCAGCCGCTCCAGGAAAGGTGTGGCAGTCTGCTTCCATGAAGATTTACAGCCTTGGAAACTCTATTGGGCAGTTCTACTCTGTCCTATAGGGTCGCCATGAGTAGAAATCAACCCGATGGCAGTGGTGGGAAAATGTGGCTAATAGTTCTATCAAATAGCTTTTGACAAGATAAAAACAAATGTCTCAGCACTCAGTACTCGGACACAAAATCATCACCTGGGCAGGTGGATGACATCACGACATTTCCGCGCTCAAGCGGCGCGAAACGCAGAGCTATTCAGGAAGGACGGGAACCGCTACCGGACCATCAGTCTCTTCAAACTGTGGAGGGACACCACGGCCGCTACCTCATAAACTGCACCATCCCAATCCCCGAGGTTGCCCTGCAGCTTGCTCGGAGACGAAACGCCTCACCTCATGCTCTGGCGCCGCTTGGAAACAGGTCTTAGTGGATGGGTTGGCTCTAGATGATATCATCATTGTTCGACACCGAGTGGCATGCGTCATCAAACCGCATTTTCTCGCTCCTTCCTCCTCCCCTCTCTGTGGAGGTACGGAATCCCGGAAGGGCTGGGAACATCGCTCCGCCTCCGGAGCTGCTAGTGACTGGAGAGCTAGAGTAGTGACCCGCAGATAGACTTGGCAGTCGGCAAGCTAGAAGCATGGAGGCACCCTGGGGGAGCATCAGCGCTGAGCGGGGCTGGTACGTCTCTGCTCAGCAGCCTGAAGAAGGAGAGGCAGAAGAGTCAAGCCCGTTGCTAAGCAACGTAAGTGGGCTCTGCTCCTTCTTGGCGCTGATCGCTTCCCGGCTTTCCTGAAGTGCGTGCCCAAAAATGAACGAGAAAAGAAGGGAGCTGGTACCGGGAGCGAGGAGAAGCTAGAGCTAGACCCTTCCTGTTGCCAGAGTAGGGATATGGAGTCCAAAGGCAGCAGTCGAGATTCAGATCAGATGAAATATAGCAGAGTTCATGAAAGTGATTGAAAGCCCACCATGCCCTAGAAAGAAAGGTGAAGGGTACAGGCTCAGGTGGAAGAGATGCAGCCCTCAGTGAAAGTTGGGGAACTGACAGGATGAACAGCCCTAAGGTTGTGAGACTCATTCCTGTGTTTTAGTATCTTTGATGGCTTCCTATTTTCACCACCAGTGTTGTCAGATCTTTCCAAGAGTCACAAGACTTGACTTTTCCGTCTTAGTCATTGAGGGGTTATAAACAGCTTCATGAAGGAGGGAAGGTAACCCGTTGATAGGTGCATACTACTCCCCTGATTCTGAAACATCCAGTTGACACTCAGTTTTGTAGCTCAGTTTCTAGGATTTTGCTCCCAAATGCTATTCTAGGGAAGGATGGTGTCAGGGGTATCCTTGCCAGAGCAATGTAAATTGCTTCTATTTCTTTTAATGTTCCCAACCATTCTTCTAGTTAGAGGAACTTAATTCATTAAGCCTATTACTAGCAGTTAGTTTTGCAATTCTAGTAATTGGGGAGCAACAGTTTACTCCAGACCTAGCCCTCCACTCCTGCCTTACCTCATTCCTAGCTTATCTTTATCTCATTCTTATCCTATCTTTATCTCCTGCAGTCTCAAGGTTAGTCATGGCCCCTAAGCCTGTGGCCTCTGTACTGGTGAAGATGACTTTCCTAGGCAACACTATAGTCCTAGAGTTGCACTAATTGGATTGCACAAAGAAAGGAAACTAGTGCTGGTTGAATGATCACACTTTCTGACTGTTTGCAGGAGACTTTCTCCATAACCTTTCAGTGATTTTACCAAGTTTGAACTTTGCCATCCAAATATTTAACACTATTAAATAATTTGTGTGCTTCCAGGAACTTCCCAGGCAAGGATCCCCAGGTGTTTCATTTGGTTTCTCGGTGTTTAATTTGATGAATGCCATCATGGGAAGTGGCATCCTTGGCTTAGCCTTTGTTATGGCTAATATTGGTATCCTTGGATTTAGGTGAGTTTTTCCTTTTTTCATATTTTACTATTACTTACATTTTTCATTTTGATAGTACCCTGAGAAGCAAAGAGGCTCTGGAAGATGGTATATGATTTCTAGTTAAATTATTTCTGGAGTTTTAGCATTTTTCTTATAGTTTTACATTGTTGCTAATCTGCAGTTTGGAGTATATACTTTATATCTTTTTATCTAAGAATGGCTAATTTTTAAAGTAGATACAATCCACAGCTCAGCTCCTATATACCTTTAAGAAGAGGCTAATTTATTATGTTACATTGGCTGCTGGAGCAGAAGTACCACAAGTGGCAGGCTTTAAAGAAGAGAAGTTTATTTTGTTGTAGTTAAAGGCAGTAGCAGTGTGAACTAAGGGCATTGGTTACAGGGGAAGGCTTTCTGCCAGCTCTGGGGAAAGATCCTTGTTTCAACTTCTATAGACCTGGGGTTCCTTGGTGATCTCTCCCTTTTTCTATTTGCTTCATGTCTAATGTGCTCTTTTTATAACTCAGAAATAATTAGGTTTAGAGCACACCCTACACTGATGGGCCTTATTATCATAGCAAAGAAAACCTTATTTCCAAATACGGTTACATTCAGGTATGTTGTTGTCTCAACTGGTGGTTGAAAATTATGTTTTATACACAAGCATCTTACATGCAGATAATGTATACCACTGAATGTGTTATCACTGAATCACATACAACCTCCATTTTGATAACACCAAATTGTTTTCTTTGTGAGTGCTCTGATGTCAATTAAATGATATGTAGAGTTTTGCACCTCAATTTTGCTACTTAATATTAAGTATTAAGTGGACCACAAACATAGAATTTCTTCAGCTATTGGGACAATTCTTTGGGGAGAGCTATCTTTAAAAATTTGTCCTGCCATCTATCCTTGGTAATAAATTGGGGATTATGCATGTTGTAACTTTTCATATTGCTATTGAGGGGGCAGCAATTGTTACATTGCTTATACATATTTAAAATTATATCATTAGAAGTATGTTAATTGCATTGTTTTGGCTTGGTTTCACATGTATTTGTGTTTAGTTTCTGCTGGGAAATGCAGACCTAATTTGGTATCAAAGGTGAAGTTATGACAGGGATGTCCACACCATTGGATGGAAAGAGAAAAGGAGAAGACAGTGAGATTTCATGACTAAAACTTCTGTTAGTCTTAGAATAGAAAAACATAGTCATACATGGAACTATTACAAGGTCATCTGACGGCTGAATCAGCAGCAGACAAGAGTAGTAAATGAGGAACTTTATTTTTATTTTAAATAATAGTGCTTTTTTAAAAACAATTTTTTTAAAAAAAATTCTCTTTTATTTCATTTAAATGGAATTTGATTAATACTGAAAAGTCAGACCCTGTGAACTTTGAATGTGAGGAAATTTGTTTTGGTAATGAATTATAAAAAAGAGAAACTTTTGAGAAGGGAATCTGACCTGTATTCTTTTATATTTTAGTTTTTTGCTGCTAATTGTTGCTGTCCTGGCTTCTTACTCAGTCCATCTCCTGCTTAGTATGTGTATTCAGAGAGGTGAGTTAAAAAATCATGCTCTTTCATGTGGTGAAACAGCCCTTAGCAATTGTATCTGCATACAGGTTTGGATGTTTGAAGTCTAATTCCAGTGGGCATGTATATTATTTGGGAGGGAAGTTGAAATGGAGAATTTCAAAAGGCCAAGATATATAGACTCAGTGCTATGGGGGAATATCTAAGGACAGAATGAGAGGAGAAACTAGAATCTTACCTGCCTTTCTCTGTAACACACACAGTTCTCTGGGTTAAAGTAGATTAGGGCTGGCTTCTGGAAGGTGTTTAAAGTAACCAACCTTTACTCACAGGGAAGTGGTAGACAGCTGTTCATTTTGAGCATATTTCTCCTGCAGTGATCATTTCCTCAAGAACACTTTCCTAGAAGGGCAAATGTGTTCCAAATGTGAGTACCAAATGTGAGTGATCAGCATGGTGGCATTCAGGAAGAGGAAGACATAGAGAGGCACATGAGAGGTACAGACAACAAAGATGAACCCTTTTGTACATACAGTACTTCATTATCAGTGATGGCAAACATCACTGTGGATAGATGGGTGGACAGGCTAAAAAATCATTTTTGTCTAGGCACGGGGAGTGTGTCCATGACCATGTATTGGCAGACAATGTTTCTACATGTGTATTTGTATGTGCTGTAAGAATATCCAGGTATATAGTAGAGCTGACAAGGGACAATGTTGTGATGACTTCTTGACCACAGCCAGCTACCTAGAGGGAGTGCGTAGCTGGACCTGTGGGCTTGGGACCATGGTTGCAGAGGACGTTAAGCTCATTGGCATAACATTGTTTCACATCCTACTTTGGTGAGTAGCAACTGGAATCTTGTAAAGTATTGTAAGTAGCCATCTAGATGCAATGATGGTTCCCTCCTCATCCAGAGCAAAGAGTAATGAAGAAAACCAAAGATGCATGGGAACAATTAGTCCAAGGGACTGATAGACCATGTGATCCTCAGCCTATATGACCATGAGACCAGAAGAACTAGATGGTACCTGGCTTCTACTGTCAACCACTTGGAGAGGGATCTGTATAGGAGATCCTGGATAGATAGAGTGGGAGAACAATGTGAAACAAAACTCAAAATCATTAAAAAAAAAAAGACCAAGTTTGCTGGTCTGATAGAGCCTGGTGAAACCCCTGAGACTATAGCCTCTAGCTGCCCTTCAGATCTGGAATTGAAACCACTCCTGTGGCTTCCAGCCAAATAATAGACAGGCATATGAGCTGAACATTTACATCAGGTAGATACATACCTTGGAGAGAACAATCATGCGAGAATAGAAGGGCTGTGTATTTATAGGGAGACAGCTCAGGTGGTAGGAGTGCATGGGAGGGAAGGACACAGGGACGAGGTAACTATGGGGAGGAAGTGAGAAGAGAGCTGTTACATTGTGGGAAACTGCAGTCAATGTCATGAGAGAAAATGTGTATGAACTGCTGTATGAAAAATGAATTTTCTCTGTAAACTTTCACCCAAGTCACAATAATTTTTTTTTTTTTTTTTTTTAAAGAGCACCTTCCTACATCTTCTACTACCTTCCCTACCCTTTGCCTGCTAGAAAGAAGCAAAGGTGGCAGAATTGGGATTGTAGAATGTAAGGTTACAAAGCTTTTCATTTAGATAAATTTTGTATTATTACTTGCAAGTCTAGAGTAAGGTAGTGCAGAAGGGGCATGAGGGCAGCATTGTCTGATTGCCTCCAACTTGACGAGGGGGAAGGAAAATCACCATCAACAGCCCAAGGCTGATTGCTATGAGGCAGAAGTCAGACATGCCTCCACCCTCCAACCTTTTTTTTACCAATTCTGACACCAACTGTACCTCCCATGACACTCTTCTTTTCTGCTGGGTTTGATAATTTCTCGGCATTGTCCACATAGAACTCTCACAAAATACTCATGATTATGGGGTTTATTAGGGAAGTAGAAGGTTACAGTTCAGGTTCAGAAACGCTCAGGATACAATTCTTTGATCAGGAAAACTTCCTCTCAGCTGTACCAAGGGCTTGCTTTTCTTTAGCATTGGCCTTTGCCCTGCTCAGGTCAGTGTTACATAGCTCGTTCAGCTTTGCCAGTAGGCACCCCCTCCACCAGCAAGCCTCGTGCCCAAAGACACTCAGCTTCTGCACTTTGTGGACTCTTAGTTCTGCTGCCTCTGCTATTGCAGTTTCTCTGCTGCCATTTTTTCTGCCATCTTAGTGCAGGGATCTCAGGTCCAAGGATGTGCTCCAATCCTGGCTCTTCTTTCTTGATAGTAGTGAGATTCCCATTTCTGCCTCTGGGATAGCTCATTTTAAGCCACGAGGGATGGCAAAACTGACCAATGTCCACGTTAGGGTTCCATTCACCTTATTTGCATAGTCCTACTCATGCATGTGTGCCATTTACCTTATTTACAGTATTAACAAGCTATCCAGTCCCCTTAGAGGGCCACAAAGCACCTCACATTTACGTAGTCTCACCTAGTCATTTGGTGGGAGTCACAAAGACCATGTCTAGAAGAGCCATATTAAGTAATTCACTGCACCACAGATAGTTTTTTCTAAATGAAAGAAATATATGCATTTCCACAACTCTGAAACCAGAAGTAGATGGTGCCCAGCTGCCCCTGACAACCACTCTAAAGGAATCACAGTAGGAGATCCTGGATAGAGTAGGAGACAAATGTGGAATAAAATTCAAAATAATAAAGACCAGGCTTACTGGTCTGATAGTGACTGGTGGAACCCCTGAGGCTATGGCCTTTAGTCATCATTCAGGCCTGGAACTGAACTCACCACCATGGTTCAACTTTTAGCCAAACAATAGACAGGCCTGTGAGGTGAATAAAACACCAGGGAGGTATGCACTCAGAGTAGTCAGCTATAGGAGATCAAAAGGATACCATTTGTCCAGGGTTAAAGCTCAGAAGGCGGGAATGGATAGGAAAGAAGGACAAAGGAAAATAGTACCTACAGGGAAGAATCGGGAAGAGCGCTGTTACATGGTGCGGAATGCAGTCAGTGTTACAAAACTAGATGTATGAACTGTTAAATAGAAAATCAATTCATGTGTAAACTTTCACCCACGTCACAATAAAAAGTTATAAAACCAATCATATGCAATTTCCTGCCATACATGTGTGTGTGTGTGTGCATTTTCCTATTTGGAACTTTATTATGCAATTCACTCATGTATTGAATAAGTTCTTTTAAGTTGCAATAAATAAAAATACAGACAGACCCTGGATTATGAATGAGATCTGTTCCTTATTGTATCTTTCAAGTCGAATTTGTAGGTAAGTTTTGGAACAGATGCATATGATTCATGTTTGGCCTTACTTAGTGCAAGGAAGGAGCCCTGGTGGTACAGTGGTTAAAGTACTCAGCTGCCAACCTGAAAGTCAGTGGTTGGAACTCATGAGCTGCTCCATGGGAGAAAGAGGTGGCTATCTGCTTCCATAAAGATTTACACTTTCGGAAACCCTATAGGGCAGTTCGGGGCTCTGGTAGCATAGTGCTTAAGGCACCTGACTGCTAACCAGAAGGCTGGCGATTCAAACCCACCAGCCACACCTCGGAAGGAAGATGGGGCAATCTACTTCCGTAGTGATACTGCCTCGGAAACCCAAGGAGGGGTCGCTATGAGTCGGGTCCGACTTGACGGCACCTGACAGCAAAAACATGGGGCAGTTCTACTCTGCCCTATAGGGTCACTGTGAGTTGGAATTGACTCGATGGCAGTGGGCTTGGTTAGGTTTTGGTTTAGTGCAAGAGAAAGCTCAAAGCCTTTTCAGTGATTTAAAAGCTGCATGTGCAGCAAGTGAAGGTGATTTTGATGAATTTGTTGCAAGTTGGGGTTGGTTTAGTTGTTTCAAAGTGAGGGCAAATTCATGTAAAGTAAAGGGTAAGTATGAGTTGTCTTTAAGTTGGACATTAGTAACTCAGGGACTGTCTGTGTATATGAATTACAGAATTCTTTTTTCAGATTTTCTTTTTTGGCATTAATACTCTATATCCACCAATCCTGGTCTTTTCCTCTGTCTAGTTTCTTCTTTCGTTGCATTAGGTCAGTTATGACACCAAAGGCATAGATTGAGTTCTTATGTGGATGAGTTCTCTTTGCTCTATTTTGTCTTGTAATTTTTCCGACTTTAAAAAGCAGAATATGTTTATAATTTAGATAAAAGTAAGATTTTTCTGGCTGAAACAGAAGAGAGAAACCCAAAGGTACCTCTTGAGAATTCTAGGTCTCTAGAAATAGCACTGATCTATTTTTCTAAAACCTGTCTGCATCAGAAACATCTACCGATCTTTTTTATAGATCAGATTTCTAAGCCTCAGGAATTCTAATACCAAAAATCTGAAAAGGGACTTCCGAGTATGTTTTTAACAAGCTCTCCAGCTGATTAGGATCTGTAGTCCGTGGCTGTAGCCTGTACCAATACCTTTGGCCACCCTGGTTTACAAACACAGGCTTGGCCTGGCGTGGCTCAGCTCAGCTCAGCTCTCAAGGGGGTTGGATGAAAGTACAAGCAGATAAAAATACTAGGAAACCATACAAATATTAATCTCAAAGTGGCAAATGTTCATAATAGTATCCTGAATTCAAGAATGATAGCATGAGAGAGTGTATTTGTAAATCCTGCTGAAACTTGACTGGAATTTTAAAGACGTTTTGAAATTTTGCCTTTTGTGTGAAATAGTTATTTTACCTGTGTTACTTTATGTAGCATGTTAACAGGCTCATTTATTTTAGATTCTAAAAAAGAGTAATATTTTACTTATTATATGACAATTGTTTTCATTAACTATTTTGCTTCATTAATCTCAGTTATTTGGGAGTAATATTCAATTTATGGAGATCTCTAGGTAATGTTATTTTTTCCCTGTCCTTCAGTTTATCTGTATTTAACTTTAAAACTCTGACACAGTCTGATGTTCTTTTCTGTTATGGGCTATTATAAAGTGAAAACCATTGTTTCTCTTTTCTCTCTGTCTTTG